CAGGTGCTGTAGGATGTGGTGGAGGGCCAGGTTAATGGCGTCGTCTACAGATCTGTTGGCTCTGTAGGCGAACTGCAGGGGGTCCAGGAGGGGGGAGGTGAGGGACTTGAGATGGGAGAGAACCAGGCGTTCAAATGACTTCATGACGACAGACGTAAGTGCTACAGGTCTGTAGTCATTGAGTCCTGTGATCCTGGGCTTCTTCGGGACGGGGACAATGATGGAGGATTTGAAGCAGGCCGGGACATGGCAGGACTGCAGAGAGGAGTTGAAAATGTCCGTGAACACAGGAGTAAGCTCACTGGCGCAGTGTCTCAGAGTGGCCGGAGACACGTGGTCCGGGCCAGGAGCTTTGCGGGGGTGCAGCCTCAGGAAGAGTTGTTTAATCTCTTTAGCGGCTATTGTTAGGCTGGGGGCAGGGCTGATGGGTGGGTCGTTAGAGTAGTGGGGGGTGGGGGAGGGAGAGGTGTCAGGGGCAGCATCAAAGCGACTGAAAAATAAGTTCAGATCGTCAGCTAGCTTGTGGTCATCAGCACAGGGGGGGGCTTTGGGTTTGTAGTTGGTGATCTCCCGTAGGCCCCTCCAGACAGAAGCAGTATCGTTGTTACCAAACTGCTCCTGTAGTCGTTCTCTGTGCCGGGACTTGGCTGCTTTCAGTTCTTTCCTGAACTGATATTTAGCTGCTTTGTAGCCGCTGCGGTCCCCCTTCCTGAAAGCAGACTCCTTTGCTTTCCTGAGCTGCCGGAGTTTAGCAGTGAACCAGGGTTTGTCGTTGTTATAGATGACCCTGGTCCTTGTTGGAATGATGCTATCCTCACAGAAGTGGATGTATGACGTCACAGTGTCCGTATATTCATCCAAGCTGTCTGTGGCAGCTCTGAAAAGGTCCCAGTCTGTAGATTCCATGCATGCGCGCAGCTCTTCCACAGCTTCATCAGACCACACTTTGGAGCTCCTCATTGCAGGTTTCGAGAGCTTTAGTCTCTGTCTGTAAGCAGGAACCAGATGTATCATGGAGTGATCTGAGAAGCCGAGGGCTGGCTTGGGAACAGCGCGAAAAGCTCCGCGCACGGTGGTGTAACAGTGATCCAGAGTGTTCTCCTCTCTGGTCGGGCATTTGATAAACTGTCTGTATTTGGGTAATTCCTGGCTCAAGTTTCCCTTATTAAAATCCCCCAGGATAATAATCAGAGAGTCCGGGTATAAGCGTTCCATACACAGTACTTGCTCTGCGAGTGCGCGCTGAGCCTCGCGCGCGTCCGCGCATGGCGGTATGTAAACAGAGGCAAGAATGAATGAAACAATTTCCCGCGGGGAGTAATATGGTTTACAATGAATGAAAAGATATTCCAGAGCAGGAGAGCAGTGCTTGGAGATCACTGTCACATCGTTACACCAGTTTGTATTGACGTAGAAACACAGCCCTCCGCCTCTGCTCTTCCCTGAGAGCGCACAATGGCGATCCGCGCGAAACAGCCCAAAGCCCTGCAGCTCCAGAGCGCAGTCCGGGATCCGCTCATTTAGCCAGGTCTCAGTGAAGCAGAGGACACAGGATGTGGCGAAGTCCTTGTTTCTTCTCATGAGCAGGCTGAGTTCGTCCATCTTATTGCCCAGTGAGCGTACGTTGGAGAGAAAAATGCCGGGGAGAGCCGTGCGCGCTCCTCTCCTCCTAAGACGCACGAGCAGGCCTCCTCGCTTTCCCCTTTTACGGGCCCACACTTTTTTGGCTAGAACATGAACTAAATCAGCCGCAGATGCCAAGAAAACAGGCAATAGGTCCATGGGAACGGTGGGTCGGATGTTCATAAGTTCCTCACGGGTGTAGGAACAGCCAGATGCACAGTTAAAAAGTAAAAACAAAAGAAAAAGAGAGCAGCAAAGAGCCATGTCGACCGTACGAGGCGCCATCTTGAATTCCCAAAAACCCAAAGCTCTTCCCTGCATACAGGTGAGGATGTGGTTTTGTAAAGATTTGAGCTTCGAAGTTTTCCTGCAAGAATACACAGCATGTGTGAAAAAAGTTATACCATGGCATCACACAAAGAGAAAAATTAGATTATCAGGTGACTTCATAAATGTATAATGTTCATACAGATCATAAACTCTACTAAAAGTATTGGCTCTTGACCAGAAACCATTCCAGCCTGTTGGAAGACACCAAAGTTATTTTTTTTAAAGTCTTACCAGACCAAGGTTATATACAATATAACAAAATTCAACATACAGCATGAAGTTTCTTTGTTAGATCTTTTGAGGCATGCGAATGGATAATACCCTGATCCTCATATGTGCCCTTTTCTGGATCTGTTCCAAACACAACAAAATTATCTTGTAACAAGCTGTAATTAGAATTAAAACAATTAAAAAAGGGCAGCAATTTGTACATGAGCATCAGTTACAATCTCTGCGATGTGGACCTCTTTTGTGAGTTTGTCAAAGGTTTGAATAAAGGCGGCTTTCTCCATAGCACCACTTTTACTGCCAACCCATTGTTGGTCCACATTGACAACACTGATAATGATTTAGATAATGGGAAAATAATGAAAAACACATTCCAGAAAATCTATAATAATGAGATGTCCAAAAGCTTTGGTCATTACTCACGCTAAAACAGAAAGGCACATAAGCATACACTGTATATGGGCTTAGTTACTTACCAAGGGCAACCACACTGTTTTTGGACTCTAATCTGTTGATCTATCTATATAATGCATCTATATTGATGTGATCGGTATGGCAGTTATAGGCATCATTACATCAGCTTATAGAAATCCAAAAATTAAATCCATGATAAAAAAAATATAAAAGATGACTATGACTAATCTAATGTTGCAGATTGAAGCTAAAGAATTGGGCACATCCAACACTACATAAAGTATCGGACCGGCAAGTGGGGGATCGCAGCTTGAGGATAGCCCCCCCCCGAGCAGGGAACTCTCAATCTTGTCTCTTTTAATGCACAGAACAGGACACACAGCAGTAAGTGCTACTGCTGGAGTTCTCCTCCACAGTCACGGCATCTTTAATAAATATGAATACGTCCAAAACGGAAACTTGTTCCATCTGCACCAACTCCAAGTAGATTACCATGGAATAGTTATAGTCAGTGTTTTTTTGTTGAATGTATGTCCTCAATTGACCCATTGACCTACTTTCTGTGTGGCCGTTGCTACACACCGGTGCGGAATGTTAACAAATGGCTCTCTGCTCATACACCTGTGTGAACGCGTGCAGCCAAACTGAAGCTAAGTCTCTGCGCTAAGTTATTCCTCTGTCACTCCGGTATTTCACTCTTTAATGGCGATGGCTGCGCCAACAGGTTATGGGCCCAGTAAAGAGTTTGGAAACCGATGGAACCGATTATGTTTTGACGGAGATGAAAAGAACTTTGAAGGGCGACAGTAGCTCAGTTGGTAGAGCATTGGCCTTTGAGCCAGAGGGTCGTGGGTTTGAGCCCAACTTTCACCATCGACTCCCACTGTTTGCTGTCGTTGTGTCCTTGGCAAGACACTTAACCTCTGGGAACACCAGCCACAGTGGGGCGGCTGCGGCTGTAAAGTGCCAAACTGCAGTTGTGTCCTTAGGCAAGACACTTCACCCCCATTGTCTAGAATGAGTCTGGTGTGTATGTGTGAATGGTTGGTGGTGGTCGGAGGGGCTGATGGCACATACTTGCTGCCTCGCTTCTGTCAGTGTGCCCCAGGGCAGCTGTGGCTACAGTAGTAGTTCATCACCACCGTGTATGGAGTGAAAGAATAATGACATATAAAGCGTCTTTGAGTGTCCAAAAAAGCGCTATATAAAAACCCATGCATTATTATTATTATTATTAACTATGAATTGTGGGAGACTAAGTATCTGGCACACTTACGTCTGATTGATCTCAAAAGAACCATACTGAGTCAAGCCCCCGCGGCAGGTGCGGAGAATGCCGTTGAAGACGCCAGTTAGAATGAAGAGGCGTACGCAGTTCTAATTCCACTATTGGACGATAAAAGTTTGTCTCTTGTAATGAGAGAAGCCGCTGATGATGGCAGAAAGGCACTGCAGATCCTCCGTGATCATTACGCAGGCAAAGGGAAGCCACGCGTAATAAGTTTGTACACGGAGCGGACATCTCTTCAAAAAGGAGTCTATGAGAGCGTCACGGACTACATTATCCGTGCTGCAGAGACTGCTATCACAGCGCTACGTAATGCAGGAGAGACACTGAGCGATGGCTTATTGACTGCAATGATATTAAAAGGCCTGCCTGACGAGTACAAACCATTCTCTGTTCACATTACACAGAGTGATGATACACTGACATTTGCAGGGTTTAAAACAAAACTCTGAAGCTACGCGAGCGCAGAAAAGTTTGGAGCTTCAGGTTCTGGAGAAGAGTGTCATGAAAGTTGGAGGAAGAGAAAACTTGAGTGCAAGACTCACCTCTTACACCTGTGGCCAGAAGGGGCACACAGCAGCGGAGTCTGCGTCAACTGCTGGGGAGCGCCGGGAGCTGAGGCAGTGGTGCAGCTTCTGCAGGAGCTCAACGCATGAAGACGCGCACTGTTGGCGCAAACAGCGGGACAAGGTGAAGCAAGCGGTGGATGAGGAGGATCACACGTGCACGTTCGAGCTCAAGGATGTTCCGATTGGAGGTGTCAAAGTAAAGGGTCTAAGGCCCCGACTCCACCGGGCGTGTAAAACGGACGACGGATCCGTCCAAACATGTCCGTTTCATCTCCGTGTCCGTTATCTCCATGAGACTGAATGGAAGTTGCTCCACTGACACGCTAAATAAGTATAGAAAACAAACGAAGAGGCTGGATAATAATAAACGCTGCGGTCACAGGCCCAAACACACATGCACGCACACGCCTCCCACCACACACACACACACAGACACAGAAACACACACACACAGGCGCTCTCACGCACACGCTCACGCACACATGCACGCCGACAACACATGACTCCTCCTCATGTGTTGTCGGCGTGCCCGGTGGAGTCCAGGCCTAATGGTTGACTCGGGAGCGACAAAGCACATCATCACGGACATCGGAAGATTCGAGGAGTTTGACCCAACTTTTAAACCTCAGAGCCACATTCTGGAGTTGGCTGATGGAGAGCGCGCCAGTGGTACTGTGCAAAAGAAGGACCTTTGGGAGCTATTTATTTTATTTGCAGTCATTAAATACATTTCGAATATTAAGGGCTGTCTAATATTCGTTCGAATATATACAGTGCCTTGCGAAAGTATTCGGCCCCCTTGAACCTTTCAACATTTCACCACATTTCAGGCTTCAAACATAAAGATATAAAAAATTTATTTTTTGTCATGAATCAACAAGAAGTGGGACACAATCGTGAAGTGGAACGAAATTCATTGGATAATTTAAACTTTAACAAATAAAAAACTGAAAAGTGGGGCGTGCAATATTATTCGGCCCCTTTACTTTCAGTGCAGCAAACTCACTCCAGAAGTTCAGTGAGGATCTTTGAATGATCCAATGTTGTCCTAAATGACTGATGATGATAAATAGAATGCACCTGTGTGTAATCAAGTCTCCGTATAAATGCACCTGCTCTTTGATAGTCTCAGGGTTCTGTTTAAAGCGCAGAGAGAACCATGAAGACAAAGGAACACACCAGGCAGGTCCGAGATACTGTTGTGGAGAAGTTTAAAGCCGGATTTGGATACAAAAAGATTTCCCAAGCTTTAAACATCTCAAGGAGCACTGTGCAAGCAATTATATTGAAATGGAAGGAGTATCAGACCACTTCAAATCTACCAAGACCCGGCCGTCCCTCCAAACTTTCATCTCAAACAAGGAGAAGACTGATCAGAGAAGCAGTCAAGAGGCCCATGATCACTCTAGATGAACTGCAGATAACTACAGCTGAGGTGGGAGAGTCTGTCCATAGGACAACAATCAGTCGTGCACTGCACAAATCTGGCCTTTATGGAAGAGTGGCAAGAAGAAAGCCATTTCTCAAAGATATCCATAAAAAGTCTTGTTTAAAGTTTGCCACAAGCCACCTGGGAGACACACCAAACATGTGGAAGAAGGTGCTCTGGTCAGATGAAACCAAAATCGAACTTTCTGGCCACAATGCAAAACAATATGTTTGGTGTAAAAGCAACACAGCTCATCACCCTGAACACACCATCCCCACCTCAGCTGTAGTTATCTGCAGTTCATCCAGAGTGATCATGGGCCTCTTGGCTGCATCTCTGATCAGTCTTCTCCTTGTTTGAGATGAAAGTTTGCAGGGACGGCCGAGTCTTGGTAGATTTGCAGTGGTCTGTTACTCCTTCCATTTCAATATAATTGCTTGCACAGTGCTCCTTGAGATGTTTAAAGCTTGGGAAATCTTTTTGTATCCAAATCCGGCTTTAAACTTCTCCACAACAGTATCTCGGACCTGCCTGGTGTGTTCCTTTGTCTTCATGGTTCTTTCTGCGCTTTAAACAGAACCGTGAGACTATCAAAGAGCAGGTGCATTTATACAGAGACTTGATGACACACAGGTGCATTCTATTTATCATCATCAGTCATTTAGGACAACATTGGATCATTCAAAGATCCTCACTGAACTTCTGGAGTGAGTTTGCTGCACTGAAAGTAAAGGGGCCGAATAATATTGCACGCCCCACTTTTCAGTTTTTTATTTGTTAAAAAAGTTTAAATTATCCAATAAATTTCGTTCCACTTCATGATTGTGTCCCACTTGTTGTTGATTCACGACAACAAATTAAAATGTTATATCTTTATGTTTGAAGCCTGAAATGTGGCGAAATGTTGAAAGGTTCAAGGGGGCCGAATACTTTCACAATGCACTGTATCGTGTTAGTTTCTTCTAACACAGAAATCTTGCAAATGTTTACCATGTGTATACATGTATTTGAGTTCAAATAACACCCTTAGAGTTAGGGTTGCCAACTTGACAACAAAAAAATAAGGGACACCATTTGGGTTGAGCACTTTTTAGTCCTAATTTCAGTCTACACAGTAATGATGGAATTTCATAATCACAGTTTTTAGATTGTAATTTATTGACTACAAATGAAAAAACAAATCCTTAGTCCAAAATGAAATTGAATAAATAGGTGGAACTCTTTGGCTGGTTAAGGACTTAATGCATTCTTATTAGTAATAAAAAAAATATAAAAAGACAAATACTGTAACATACATTATTTATGAATGTTACAGTAAAGACCAATTTCTGTAAAAGCAAATAAAAAAAGAAAAACATATGTATTCATTAAAAAAACTCACAAATCAAAGTCTGTAGCAGTTCGATATGGTCATCATTATTTATATTGTCTGAGAGTTTTGTGCAGGTACTGCAGGTTTGTGGCTTCAGTAAAAGCTATTGTTCGTTTACAAAGCTGGTCTGGACATTTGTTGACGCTCCCTAAGTGCTTTTCTCTGCGCTTGCAGTGCATTGGATTCAGAGGATTTCTCTGCATTAAAACAGCGCATTGAATTTGTAAAATCAACGTAGAGATGATCATTTTAGCACAATTACTTTGTTTAACAAAGTAGCTTTCGTGAGCTATTGACCGTCTGTGTGTGCGTGTGTCGTGCGTGTGACATGCAGTGAGTGAGTGACGCATTTAAGGTGGCTCTGAAAATACGGGACAAAAGCCGTCCCGTATCGGTTCAATACGGGACAATTCCGTATTTCAAGGGACGGTTGGCAACCCTACTTAGAGTAATTACATAGCTATGTGTCACCCCTCTAAGTACAATGGTATCTTCCCAAACAGAAGCGCTAACATTGGCCGAGCCTGCGTATCTATCATTACGAACCAACGGCCGTTTGACTTCAGATATACTTTTAATTTATGTTCGGTCTTGGTACCTGTATCCCTATCATGGATGAAGAAATCAATTGTGATATGGATCACACAACGGCAGCAGTTTTAAAAGGTACATTTTCATGTTTTTTTTTCTTTTTTTTAGCAGTGAGCTAGCTTAGCTAGCGTGAATTTAGCTAGCACAAATTTAGCTAGCAGTAGCTAATGACTAGACATATATTTCTGAATTGTCATAGAAGGTATACCAATATATACCTCTTGTCTTTTAGCTGGTGGTGTAACAATGGCTATGCTGAGCAGCTATACATAGTTCCCACAGACCAATGAATGTCACATGACCTCCTCGGAGACGCCATCTTTGATGGCACGCTGCTGTGTTTGTGCATTCCATTAAACAGAAGAATGAGAATAAATGTAGATATTCAAACGCAAATTGGAAAAAAAGGGCAACTTTTGAGCAAATAATTGTATATTAATACAATGGCACCACAGTTTAACGTGCTACGGACATGTTTTACATATTTGATCAAATTATGCAGCAAAAATTAACAAGCAATTTTTGCTGTTAATTTGTTGTTAATTTGTTGCTGTTTGAAAATTTGCGATATTCAAACGCAAATTGGAAAAAAAGGGCAACTTTTGAGCAAATAATTGTATATTAATACAATGGCACCACAGTTTAACGTGCTACGGACATGTTTTACATATTTGATCAAATTATGCAGCAAAAATTAACAAGCAATGCAAACATTTCTCAAAAACTTTAGATTTAATACCAGTTGGAGCTCCATTTAATTATTTTAATTATATTAACAATTAATTTAATTAATGCTAATGCCACACGGACACTCTGGATTGCTGTTATTGTTTATTTCCGCGTTTTTGACCGTATGTTTTGGTGAATGGTGGGCAACTGATTTTTCCAGGCGTAAAGAGCAGTTTATTTTATGACACAGATCTTTTTACAGAAGCAATGCTGTTTGTGAACATTGTTTTAGCCCACCATAGAACTATTATTATCTATTTAATACATTTACGTTGCCCTCGAGAGCCTCGGACGCGACACCGATCCTCCTCATAATAAAGTAATCTAAATAATGAAACTCTCAAGTTACCAGATATCAGCATACACAAGTTAGTACTGAGTAAATTACGTCTGTCAACACATTATAAGATACGATACGCACCTGACACAAAGTGCTCCGAGCATATTCTTGCGTGTTTTGAGGGAGTTTCTTGCCTGTTTATCTTCGCAAGCCATAACCTCCGTGGTTGTTCTGACAAAAGCTTAGTCTTCTCACATTCATGAAGTCTAATGATGGGTATACTGTAAAATCCAATTTTAACGGAACCTCCGGCACGATTTGAACATCCATTGACCCAGCAGGAGATGACCATTTTCAACTTTATCACGACATTAACATGTTTCAGCTTCTTTTTCTATTGTTTTGCCCACAGCATGCCAATACAAATGGCGCCGGGTCGGCAAATCCCCGTATGTAGTGACGTCATGTGGGAACTATGTATACTAAAGAAGATTTGCGCGGCCTGTTTCCTGGACCACAGAACTTTTTAAGGAGGAGAAACCTTTGGACTTTTTTACACGGAGAGAATGAGGTAAGCTATGTCAGCCATTTTAGCTAATAATACTATAACTAACTGCACATATTTTTGTGCTGATAGGCCGCAAGTCTGCAGGAGACAGACAGCTCAGCAATGGACTTGTCAGCAACATCATGTCGCTCATCTTCAGCAGTGCTTATGTCCTCTGATAGCAACTTCTGTTCGCCAACACCACACAAGTCAAGTGAGGTCTGCAGTCAATAAGAAGGTTCAGTTTTTGAGATCAGAATATGTAATCTACACAGATCTGAAAATGAAAGAAATCAATTCTTTACAAAACAACGAGCTGGAGAAGGAGACTGCACCTTTCCAAAGGACCTACGCTGCAGATTAATCCGAAATGCAGTGGCAAGTATGATTTCCATCAAAAGGGCATCAGGAGATGACTTTAAATACCCATGCTCTCGTGAATTGATAACCATGGCCAAGCGTCTAATTGAATACTATCCCTTCCTGAGAGACAAATCAACCCAAAGTGCACAAGAGTGGGTAAGTCTTGGTATTATAATTTTTTGGATAATTCATTATTGATGATATCACTAAATATGTATTTACATTGTTTCAAATTATTTACTGTTGTTTGGTTTAGGAATTAGTAAAAAAAAAAACAATTACTCAAGAGTGTGTCTACTCCAAAAAAAAGACAAGGTGCCACCCCATCAAGGAAGAGACGACAATGACTCAAGTTTGATAGTGGCAGTAAGCTGTGTGTTGAAGACAGTGAGGAGCCTGCTTCATCGCCTACTTCTGCAACATCTCTCGCCTCATCATCTTCTACAAACACTCTCGAGAAGTCTACTCCTCCACCAGGCACTGCCACAAAGACACCCCCTGATAATCCAAATAGTATTTCACTAAAATTTCAAGGTACTAAGTTCCAGCTTTCTGTCATCTCAATCTTGGTCTAAACAATGCATCCTTACCACCATTATACAGCATATTGTTTTAAATTGTTTTGATTTAATTCACTTTTTCTTTTTTTTTTTTTTCAGAAAGCGCACAGAGCCAAGCAAGGCATTACAAAACTTTACAAGACATGTTCAAAACCAAGGCTAAACCAAATAAGGAAGATGTATCCCAGCTTTTGGATCTTGAATTTCCTTCCAGGCGTGCTTTCATTGATGCAGACACATTGAGAGAACAAGACCGGCCAGCGAAGATACTAGAAGCTTATCCTTGCTTCAAAGAACGAGGCCATGTAAGCGAAAGGGGAGACCCTGGGATATTATTTCATGATGTCTTCTCAACTATACTAATATCTTTTCATACTTCTGTTAGATAATAGACGAACTGCAGCGAATCCTTGATAAAGCAAATCCTTTTTTCACCATGGAGCTGAAGAAACACTGGCTGTGTTTCTTTAGCCAAGCACAATTTTATGGTGTATTCAAAAAAAAATTCGTCCCACCTACAGTACACTGGACCAGGGTAAGTAGATTGTTCATTTGCGTTTTGTTTGATTGATTTTATTTTTTATGTTATGAACAGTGAGAAATTCAATTACTGTAATGAGAGCGCTACCCCAGATGTTCCCGTCTCAAGTTGCTCTGCCAAGAAGTTGACACATCAAAGCGAGGCTTTGATTCATATTTTGGAGGTAAGATGGGTATACTTTTGTTTCTTGCTCATTTTTTCATATTTAAGTAAATATTAAATTACTTCTTTTGCAGTAGACATCAGAGGACCCCAACACCTACCTCCAATCAAGACCATTGGTCAGCCCTGTGATAGTAGTTTGTGAGACCAACTGCATCCTTGCCATTGGAAATGTGGCTTTAATGACTTTCCCTAAAGAGGACCTCAAAGAAAGCCTGGTCTATCTCCTTGGATGTTACTACTCCTTTCACCTCACATATCCCATATGCATCGCCACAGTCTTATCTGTGCTCCAGACAGAGGTACTGTTGGACACAATCCATGAGGGGGACATGACCAGTTCTTACAAAAAAGCCATGGCTGAATGGAAAAGGTTCAACACATAAGTAGTAAAGATGTTGCATTTGTGTTTGTTCTTCAAGTTTATATTTTACTTTGTGACAAGTTAGGCCCAATTAAAATAGTTTTTTTTCCCTGTTACTCAATAACAGTCTTTTATTGATTTTATCCACGTGAAAATTGTGTCATTTATAGTTTTGTAAATCAAAGCTGAGGAATCGTAACTTTCAAACAAACAAACATTTGATTCATAAATGTTTTCTCACCAAAACATAAAAGTTCTGTTTTACCACCAATTTTCTTATGCATAGATCTTGAGCATATTTTTCTTACTAAACAGAAAACGTCTTACGTGCAGAACTTCAATCTTCACATGCATAGACCTGTAAACTTATACATGCAGGACTAAAGTTGTATTAAACAAAATAATATGTGTAAAAGGTTATGTACTCGCATCTTTATTGAAAATGTTATTGTACATTTGTAGAGGCATTTGTCCAAATTTGTTCATTTCATATGCTACTTGAGATGTTACTTGCTTTTTGAGCAATAAAAATAATGAGACTGTTTTATTGTTTTGTTTTTTTAAATCCCAAAAAAACCCGTCAAATTTCAAGCATCATTCACTTATAACTCAAGATAAATATACTAGTATTGCTACTTGAAATACTTATTTCAATATATGATTAAGTATTTTCTTCTTATTTCCAGACAACTTTTCTTGTTAAATAAGTATGCCATGCTATATTTAAAGAAAACATTTCTCAAAAATGTAAAAAAAAAAAAAAGTAAATAATACTTGAAATCATTTGCGGCTAGTATTATTTTCTTATTTTCAGTAGTCATATTTTCTTGTTCTATTGGCAGATAATTTTTCTTATTTTAAGTAGTATTTTACTTTTTTTCATTTATTTATTTCTTATTTTTTTCAAGGTATTTTTTCCAGTGCATAAAGACAGACAGTGCGCACATAAGCTTCTATTTTTAAGATGTTTCAGTGTCCAATTTCATTAATTATTTAGCATTGTTTTGTCGTCTTTTTATGCTGTTTACCAAAAAGAGCTGCTAAAAAATCCATTAATCGGCTTTTGCATTTCCCTCGAAATGGCCAGATCCATTTCGTCGTCCATAGTGCTGAATTTGTTTTCTCTGAAAATGTTTATTCATCCAAGTGGACAGACGTCTCATCTGTTCTGTCGCTTTGTTGGTAACGATGGACTAACCAACGAGGACTTTCACCCTTTTAAATTCTCCGCTTTTGGAGGTGCGTGACATCTCACTGCCCCAATGCTTCTTGAGGAGATACATTGGATTACCTTCCTTCAAAGACAATTCATATTCAGTTACTTTTTAATATATTTTGTTTTACCTTGTCCGACGTGGCTGTCCAGAACTGTAGTTCTGCCGTCAACTTCAATCCGGAAACTGATCAAACCTCAAAAATGGAGACTCTGTAGTCCTCTCCCTGTGACCCAAAGTCACGCTGCTCCAGAACTCCAGGATTGAGCACTCGCAGCCTCAAACCTGGACACCTGTGTTGACATCCGGCATAAGAAGGACCCAAACATTTTAAAAATGGGAAAAAAGAATAAAATGAAAATTAATAATACTTGGTCACTATATCAAATGATTTGTGCTATTGTATTATTTCAAAGTAACTTTGCCTTATTTCATTTATTTTTACCTTGAAATCGCAGTTTTGTCAAACACAGAGGAGTTTATGGAGGAGACACCCATTTTGTTTTACTTTTTAAAACTCATTGGACTTATCTGGACTTAAACATGAAACTGGTCTGAACTGGTGGTCTGTGCAGTTCATGTTTAAGGTAAGGCCCATTACACACTTTTAAAACTTTTTCATACCTTTGGGTTTTGTATCAGCAAACAATGCGGGCATCAAACATATTCTGCTGTAACCAAACATATTGTGAATAAGCCGCTCAAAAGGTGCTGTTGATTTACAGATATATGATATATATGCACATCTGATTGGGGTGAAGTTAGTGCCTCACCAATCACCAACCTCACCTCACGTCACTGGTGTATATACGTATATGTGTGTGTGTATATATATATATATATATATATATATATATATATATATATATATATATATATATATATATATAAAATACATATACCAAAATAAAATAAAAATACATATACCAAAATAAAATAAAAATTATATATATATATATATTTTACATGTGTAGTAGCTTTAGTAGTAGTTGTAGTTGAAATTGTGAAACCAGCTCTGGCCTCTCTAGTTTAGTTCCATTATTTCTGAGGTTAATGATAATTCCTGGAATCCAAACAACAGATAAAAGTAGTGCTAGTAGTTGCTGAATCAGTAGAAGACTAGCACCCACCAAGGCGCGCCTTCCCTGCCAGCAACCTCTGCCCTCTCTCGTTTAGCCCAGTCCAGGGTTAATTCCATATCCTGGAGCCCAAACAACAGGATCACAGCCCTTGCACTAATACTCAATAGACACTGACCCACTTTGGTGGATTACGCGCTCAGAAAAGACGGATCGGCCGCACTGTTGCCAGCCATGAAAACGATCTAATAGCCTAACTGCTGTGTTAATCTGCAAGCATGCACGGGTTATTCATTTCTCATTACAGGAATGCAGTGGTGCTGATGGGATTAGGCCTGCACTCTGGCTGTCTTTAGCTTTTGCCCGACCTCTGCGTGGCTTGCACCATCTGGCCATGCACACAATTGTTTGTTTACGCGCTCTCAAAGTTCCCGGTCACCAGGTTATAGTCAGCACTGGTAACGCCCAAGTGTGATCAAAGCTAGCAGGGAGGGAATGTGCAATGATACTATGTACAGATGATGGTGGTACAGGCTATATCAGAGAGAGATGCCAAGTATGTTTATTTTGGTTGAGCAAAGATAATTGCCAAAATTAGAGCGGAGAGGTTAAGCGCATCCTCTTCATGGACTTCTTGTCTACATCTAATACAGTGAACATAAAGACGTTCGACTGACTTCATCCACTGGTTAAAGGAATTTCTTCACAACATATCCCAACGTCTGATAGCACCATTTTAAACAAGACAAGCCTTTACAATACATTTTTGAAACCTTGTTGATGGTATTTATAGCTTATACAAATGAACCAAGATTTGATTTAACGCTGCGTCTCCTACGCGGCGTCTCAAGCTACGCCGCGCCCCACGCTGCGTCTCAAACCGACGCTGCGTCTCA